ATGGGCCGCGGCCCATTTGTGCGCCACCTTGAGGGTCTCAAAAGAACAACAGTTTTTTAACTTTGGGCCGCAGAGGGCCGCCACTAGTAGCAGTACTGCGCCACTCAGATGTTTAACAACTTTTTTAATATGTAGAAGAATAACCTTAGAAACCTGCCGATAATGGAAACTTATTTTAAATGAAAAGTAGAATCAAAAATGAAAATCACTCATCAAAAAACACCAAAGTTTGTCACTATGAAGTGCAGCTTGTTTTTACCATACAATATTTCAAAAGTTCAAAAGATTATCAAATACAGTTGCAGATACAACTATATATTAATTTGCACCTTAAATTAATTTTTGTAGTAGTTTTAAACATTTTGAATGTGTTTTAAAGAAATTTTAAACTTGTCAAAAAGCTGTTGTTACTGTTATTGTTGGTCACTAATAAGAAGAGCAGCTTCTGGTTGCAAAAGATTAAAAAGGCAATACTTTTATTTGTACTTTGTCAAATTTATTTTTACTGTTTTTTAGTTAAAAAATTCACACTAAACTGATTTAATTTATTTATTTTATGCCCACTAAAACTACAGTTCATTAATAAAACCTTGAAAAAACAAGATCACACAGGAAAAATCTTATTAGGAGCCACATCTCTGTCTTTGTTTTAAACATGTTAAACTCTAATGGTGGAATGTAGAGTTATATAAAATGTGTGCTTTGTTGGATCAGTTTGATCAATGTTCTACCAAACTTTAAATCTTGGTCAAAGTAAAACTTCCTGCCATCAGTTTGTCTCCTGAGTCTTAAAAACTGTTCATTTCAGATTAATTCTGTGGACTTGAAGTGTGCTTGGACTTGCTTACGTCAGCYGTTCTGTGACAGAAAGCTTAAATTGATTGTGAATGCATCGTCCAGACAGGAAGACTCCCCCTCCTCCTCCTCCCTCCACAGCCAGATGACAGTCTGTTTCTCCAGCCTCTCCCTTTCATCACTGCTGCATCGTCTCGGTGCTCCAGTCTGACCTTCTGCAGCCRCCATGCACGCGTTTGTTCCCAGGTAAGTTTTACAAAATGCTGAGTCATGCTGCTGTAYTTGCTCTCCATCAGATTCCATATTTAGTTACAGAAAAAAAAAACTAATTTCAGGGCTTCAGGCCACATCATCCTCACTRTCTTTGTACTGTTCAGGTTTGAAAACTCTACCCTCATTTTTTATCATTTTGACCCCTAATTTTTTTAATAAGTAATTGCTGGCTGGATGCTTGTATCATGTATCCCCACTGAAGACTTGTTTATCGCTCTTTAAAAGCTTTTAATTTATTTGTTTTCTTTATAATTACCAGTCAAGTGTGGTTGTGGAGTCCTTGCCTAAATCTTTTATTTTCTTTTACTACGGTATAATACAAAGAGCTACAGAGCAGAGAGCTGAATTTCTGTCAGGGTGACTCCACAAATRAAAGATCAATAGCAGTGAAAGTGTAGCAGAGGAGGAGCTAACAGCTGTGTGGAGGGAAACGTGAGCCGCTCTGCTGCTGCTTATTCAGCTTTTTATTTCTCTGAAACCTCCGGTGCATTGTGGGTTTGCATCTCTTCACAGCATCGTCTCACTTTAGAATGTGAGGAAGCTGCTCAAAGTGTGTTAAGTTTATTTACCCCAGATGATACTACTGTTCTAGTTTGAGTTTAAAATGATTGAAACTGAAAACTATTTTATTAATGTGTAATTACTTTTTTTGTAAAGCAGAATAAATAAAATGCTTTTGAAACATAAAATGGGCACTTAACCTTTTTAAAATGGGGTTTAGTGGAGTCTAACAACTGTTAAATATCTTACATGCAGGGCTGGACTGGGACCAAAAAACGGCCTGGGCATTTTTTGGTGCTGGCGGCCCACCATCATTATTTATTTAATACGCAAATGGACACGACATACCAGAGGATGTGTTGTATGTTGTGTTTCACAAAGTAAAGTGCAGCAGCCTACAAGGAAGAGAGTAACCATGTTAAAAAAACTGATGAGCTCATCTTCCAATCAGAGACTTTAATGTTCATGAGGTTCTGATGCTCAGTCAGTGGATCACCATGGAGCTGGATACAAACTGAAGAGAACCGATCAGACAACTGCTAAACTTAAAGTTTTCAGAGTCGCGAAGAAGGTTTTCTTTAGGTCTGGTTAGGTCACTATGGTAACAGAGACTGAACTCAGTTACTGTCA